TATATATATAATTTTTATTTATTTTTGAGTTTAATATATAAACTTAAAATACTTTTAAAAAGACAACAACAACAACAACAACAACAACAATAATAATAATAAATATAACTTGTACGTAAAAAAAAAAAAAACTGTCAAATTTACTTCCATTTGTCCTTTTTTTAAAAATGTGTTCATGTCACAGAATCATACACAAGCAATATATGACCAATAGTGACTGATTCAGAGCAAGAGCATCCCGGCTTGCATTTTTGACAGGGTGGCAGGGAAATCACGTTCCAGGTCGAAGATGCGGCTGAAGAACAATAGCTGTGGATGCTCTCACACTGATACTAATTATCAGGGCAGCGCTCCGACTCCGTCGCCGTCAGCCCTCGCTTCTCCATTAATCTTGTGCTGTCTCCCACCTCACTAAACCCAGTGCTGTTACACTATCTCTGCTTTACTTCATCTGCGGAGCCTGCGTTAGGCTGTAATTAATGAATCCCCCTCCCCTCGTGCTAGGTCTGCTGCTTCTAATCACAGCCTGCTTCGAGGAGAGATGCGCCATGAAAAGTGTTGATGGGGAGGGGGGTCAATGTGATAGTAAATATGTATAACTAAACAATGACGAACTGCCATCATAAAACAAAATCCTGTTGTTTTCACATAATTTATTCCAGATATTCGATAATGACTTGTAATGAAATGAAAGCCATTATCAGTCTAGTGTGTCGCCAAGTTCATTTTCTTTTGTTTTTAACAAAAAATTCTGGCCTCGCACTACTGCCTTTTTGCACAATATTTTTATTGCATTACTGTTATTACTATTGTTGTTAATATAACTAACAATTTGAACAATAATAATACAACTTTTTGTTACTTCACTGCAGCTGCCTGCTCTCTCAACATAATTATCGTGTCATTTTTGGAGCTTAAAAATATACCTAAAATTGTAAATGTAAAAATTATTAACATTTAAATAATAATCATATTGGTAAGCCATAGACAAGCCTTACAAGTTAAATGTACACCAAAAATGATTTTTCGAAGTTGCAAATAAAACAAAGTTTTACAAGAAAAAAAAAAATTTCTGTCTTTCATGTTACTTATCCTTTGTAACTGTTATTTGATAAATTGTTTGTGCAATTTCTACCAATTTTTGACTGAAAATCACAAAACAATACAAAATAATGTATGAATATGTAGGTTAACCTGAGCACCTTAGTCTACCTGAGCATATTTGAACTTACTTCATCTTCAATCTCTTGTGGTGATTTGATGGTGATGTTGAAAAAATGGACTGGATCTATCTGGAAATAAAGAAAAAATGACATGAAAAAAGAGGAAACATTATGGTGGAGACCATGGTTAAGTAAGCATGCTTAAGATCTTTAATCCTCTCTCTCGCTCTCATTCTCTCTCTGACAATAAGAACAGAGCTCTTGTGACAGGGGCCAAATGGCCCTCCATGAGCCAGCTCTGCCTGGCTGCATGCATTCATCAGCCGCAGATCAATTACAGTAGTGCTAAAGGCGTGTGTCGTGTCATTTTTGGAGCTTAAAAATATACCTAAAATTGTAAATGTAAAAATATATACATAAATAATAGTAATAATAATAATACAAAAATAATAATAAAACCTTTTTTTTTTTACTTTATCGCAGCTGCCTGGTCTACCAACATACATTTTTTTCCTTGGAAACCACTTACACCACATACTGAAGAAAAAAATCAATATATATATATATATATATACAGTGGGTACGGAAAGTATTCAGACCCCCTTAAATTTTTTAAATTTTTTTATATTGCAGCCATTCGCTAAAATCATTTAAGTTAATTTTTTTTCCTCATTAATGTACA